ACAGAAGTCCTCCTGTCATGCAAGCCAACGTGAATCCTTAGCTTCCAAAAGCATACATAAAACCACAACATCCTGAAAGTGGTGTGTTTTATTAGTAAGTCAAGCAAGTCAAATTTATTCGTCAAGTTTGCTATACATGCACGCAGTACAGACTTAGATGAAATTTTCGAGTCCTCTCGACCGACGTGCAAACAAGGCAAGAAAAATACACTTCCTACCCTCAAGAGACGGAGGTAAGAAGTTGAAATGACCAAGAACAACAATTACTCAAAAAACTCTTTCTTTCCCCTCTGCAATCGTATCACTACAGTTGACAGGGATCACATCAATGTTACCACCTCGTCACCTTACACCTTACTTCTGTTTACAACTCGCCCGCTCTTCACATACTGTTTTGCACATCCCATGGACATTGCATTGCACACGACACAGACACATTTTTCTATTTTTCGCTTTTCTACCGTACTTATTAATATATATCATTTTATCAATTTCTATTATTGGGTAAATTTGTGTGTTTTGTACTATTGATAGTCTTAGTCTTAATGCGTCGGTTCAGTCGTCTGGACAGAGAAGAAAAATTTCATTTGAGGAAAAAGCTTTCTTTTGGCATATGACAAATAAACATCAGATACTCTTGAACTCCTATTTACCAGAGAATAAGATAATATAAGACAGTAAACTAAATAACATAAACATCATTTTGGACATATTCCGACTGATAAAAAACTAGAGTGCCTTTGAGAGTTGAGAACAAAAGAGTATCTAGAAGAAAGATGAAAACATTTTAAAGGATTGTGTAAAATCCTCTTTTCCTCCTTTACCTCCATTCCGGCGATCCGAGGCCAACAGCGCAGGTCTAACGCTCTCGACATTGGTCGGAGGAGGATTGTAAAACGGCGATATTGCGCTGACAATTGCGCTCTGAGCTGCTCTTTTGAACATATCAATACAAGCAGCTCGTCCTGCTCAGAAACGCACGGTAGGTCGCAGAGAGGGGAGTCCCTGTGCTGCAGCTCTCGACAGGAACAACAACAACCAACATGTGCTTTACTTTGTCGGTTGTGTTTTTGTTTTTGTTGTTAACAGACCGATCAAAATTTTTAACTCCCACACGAAACCTGAGTCACTTCAGCCGATTCTTCTGAAAATGTCTTCTTAAACGAGCTAGCTGGCTGGTAGCTTCGGTTAGCTCGAAAAGTTTTCTTTTAATTAAACTTTAAAAAAAAAAATAAATCTAGCAGCTACAGCGGATAACCTTCCTGCAGCATTTAACAATGACCTAAAGATAGAGGGTTGATTTTTGGCACACCAGTCCGTTAACACGTTTTTGAAAAGCAGCCGACGGATCCCCGGCATCCCGCTCTCTCTCTCGAGCTGAGCAATGGGAGCGACTGCAGAACCTTTCTCCCCTCCTACCCGACTGTTGCTGTTCTCCTTCACCGGAAGCCGGCTGACGAAGCCGCGAACAAGTCCGCCGGTATCTCGGAAGTTTAGTAGTATTTAAGTTTTTAGCTATAGTTTCTACTTCGTATAAAACTTAAGACTGCATCGTTTTTTTATTTATTTTTGACATGTCGTATATAATATAAATCGCAGAAACTGTTTGGTAAGCCACCCTGATGTTCCTCATTTTCAGCCACTTTTATGATCCCCAAAAGGGAGAAACATGCACGCAACTGGAACGTCCCTTCTTTTGCTCTGACCTCTCATCGAGCTGGTCCCCCCCCTTTAAAGGCTATTGTCTGTGCTAATTGATGCTATAGGAATCGAAGCCTGAGGGGCCTAAATGTACATCTGTTTCATTGTCCCTTAAATTCAGATCAGGTCCCGTGATAGTGTCAGTGGTTGTTTTTCCAGTGCTACAACAATTAATTGATCCACATGAAATGAATTTGCATTATTATACAATATTCAGCTGGTTCTCCGGTCATGTGCTCCTCCACCTGATGCTTTTATTGATCTGTGACGCAAATCTCTCTTCCTTCAGGCCTCGGCATGGATCCCCCGAGCCCCATGGATTCTGTTGAAATTGAGGACACGTAAGTTGCGCCGTTCTCATCACGTCTGTTCTAATCAATCAGCCTGTGAGCTGTGTCCCTCTGCT